TTTCTAGCTATCAGGCTGCCCTGCATCTTCAGCCGCTGGTCTGTCGTTCCTCTCCGCTCTCAGTTTGGCCCCAGTCTGAATTATTAAAGCATGTGTGGGTTAATCCGTACCTCCCTCTGGCTGTAGAGAGAAATACTGGTGCTGAGACATAAAGCAGCGTTTTCCCAGTAGAGGGAGGTATTGTAAAGCTCACCCAAAAGAGGAGTCCACTTGCTGGAGAAAAATGTGCCTTTTGCAGGGCTTTTTTTGCAGAATTTCAGGAATTCATGGGGCAGCGTGTGCAGAGAGCTGGGAGGAGGCGGCCAAAAGACCTTGCTGCATGTTCGGGTAGACAGAAGATTTTCCCGTGCTTGCTTTTGTAGTTCTTTGTTATAATTGGAATAGAATAGTTGGAGTGAGAGCAGGGACCTCTGCCTTGCCTCACTGAAACCTTGTGGGCCACCTGTGGTGGAGAGGCCTTTGGTGCCACCAGGGCGAGGAGGGACCCCCATGCTCACCGCAGCAGCCCCCCTGCCTGCCCTCTGCCCCCTCAAGTCCCAAAGGACTTCGGTGCGTTGAGTGCGTCGTTGCTTTGAAGGGTGCTGAGCACACCATCATGTAGGTTTTTTTGCATTACATTGTATGATAGGGATATGCATCCATAGAAGAGCTTTAAAAAACCCCAGCAACTACTGTTAGATTGCAGCAAATGTGCCTGGTCAGCTGGAGCATGGCCGTAAATCCATAGCACTGCTTTGCAGCATCTGAGTGGATAGTTCAGGTGCCTCCTTGCTCAGCCTAATCCACAGACCAAATATCCATGCTTCAGGACTGATTGATCGCCAAGTGGAACAGGGCAAGAAACATCAAAACAAATGTTGGAGTCACATTAGACAAGGAAGGAAGCATGTAATTAGTTAATTATTTAACTCCTTGAATCAACAGTTTAGGCTCCTGTGAAGCTTTGATTTTTTTTTTTTTTTTCAAGCTTCCCATCCATAGATTTGTGGCTTGATTTCTCTCTGCTCATTCCCTTTTATCACCGCCTGCCCTAGCAGGGACCTGAGGCACGGTGTGCTATTCCTTGACGCCCAAGCCCATCAGTGGGGACTCACCACAGCAGCCTAATTCAGAGAGGTGTAGAGCTTCAATTGCAGTCAGCACATCAGTTAGGCGCTTTGGGGGTTCTTGCAAAACCACTGGAAGGGTTATTTCCACCCTCCTTGCTTGCTCCAGCGAGTCCCGTGCATTCACGCTGACATACAAGCCTTTTTCTTGGCTTTAAAGAGTATTTTTCTTCCAGACCTTGCAAGAAGTAGTAGAAAGCCAACACTCTTTGACGTGTTGCCTTGGAGACTCATCTCAGTGATAAGCTGGGCGAGTGATGGGGGACGGAGCAATGTGCTCCCCCACCCCAGCCACTGTGTGCGTGCTATGGGCACTCCTATACCGTTTTTGTAATGCTCTTCTGTTTTTTTTCTTGACCGTTTATGTTGCTCTGAAAACAGCTTTTTGTATCACTTTGACAATCTTCAACTAGATTTAACTGAAATTTGGTGGTTTCTTCAAAGTTTAAAAAAAAACACCACACAAGAATGTGCCACTGGAGTGGAAGAAAGATCGATCGGATCGATAAAGGCTTCTCTGTGGGGAATGAGAGAGCTAAAACTGTCTCTTCTGGTTTCTACAGCTAACTTGCATTCTCTGTAAATATGGACTCATGAAGAAATGTACTGAATTGGAAGTACTTGAAGATTTTTATTATTTCTAAATCAGACAACGTGGTTTCCAGCATCATGGGTTACTGTTCACATCCCTTTGAACACAGGGAAAAGTAACCAGACGTAACCCCTCTGTCTTAAAAGATTGTTGAATTGCAAAATTCTGCTGAATACCTACAGTCCCCAGAACAACAGTAGTTTCACAGAAATAGAAGAGAGAGCGCTTCAGACCTGGGATATCAAGATAAATGCTTTGTAGGACTGCAATGAAAACTCAGGCGTGAGCCTTGTTCCACATAATAAAAAGTTATTTATAGTTTGGGATGAATGAAGGACTGCACAGTTTCTGTCTGGGTTCCACCTTTTGCTGCTTGGACATAGGTGAATATTTTCCTGTAAGAGAATACCGATAATACCATGTTTATCCGTCAGGCTGCAGTAGCGATGTTAGCTGTCTTTGGGGGCGGGAGAAAGGTCGGTTGCATGAGTGAGGAGGCACGCAATGGAAAATGAAGAGTGAACCTTCAAAGCACAGGACATAAAAGGAGGCTGCGAGTTACCGGTAAGAAGAAAAGCCGTGGTAACTTGGCTGGTCCTCAAAAATTCTGATGGAATGTGGAAGGTCCAAGCGGCCCCATCCCATGCAAGAAGAATTTTATCTCACAAAAAAAGAATTATAAACAGCAGATAGGGACTGGAAGGTAAAAGGGGGTGTGGGGAGCAGGAGGCACTCGCTGGGGAAGTTCTTCTTCCTGCAGAGCGAGGCCCGTCCGAGTTGCTTTCTGGCAACCTTTAAGCCAGTCAGTGGAGAAATATCTTTTACATTCTCCGACATCTCTCCAAAAACCGCCCACACAATATGTATTTCATGTTCAGGACTTAAAATTCATTTGTGTGAGTGAGTTCGGATTTGAGGCGTCATCTCTCTTGAGGATTAGTGGGGGATCCCACAGGTCAGAAAAGGAGTCTGGTTTGGATTTCTTCATGTAGAAAGTTTTTAGCTTGTCCTCAAGTCCTCCAAGAAAGTCTTTCCTAAATCAGCTTAAACCCCTGTTGGAGTTTGCTGAAGAGCCCTGTGTAATAATGGTGCCATGGAGCTGACTCCTGGGTCTATTTTAAAAAACTAACCATCTTGCCCTCCGTTGTATTGAGGTGGATTTGTTCTCTGTAAAAAACAACTCATTTTTGTGTCTGGACTTCTACTATTCCTTCAATTTACGTGCTCTGTCTGGTGGCGTTGATTTTAAATTTTAATAATACCGCTTTGGTGCAGCTGTGGTTTCTAAAGAAGTTCTAGTAAAAGCTATTGTCCCATGGGCTGTCCAAGCACGATGGCTGTTCCTGCAGATAAACACGAATTTTAATGCCGTGCACTTCACACTAACACAACTTGCAGCAAAGTGGGTGAAGCGTTGTCCTTTAATTTTTGATAGACTTGTGTCATGATTAATATGAAAGTGTTCAGTATACACTGAAGAGACTGCTACTGTAGTGAATAAAATCTCATGAACACATTGTAGGTAACAGTTCAATTTCATTGGTTTACAAAAAGCTTTTTCACAGCAAAAAAATCTACTCTGTCTTCACTTGTTAGATTATTGTTATCTAAAAATGATTGTTTGGACCAAGATGAATCACTGGTACACTGAGATTTAAAGCACAGTAAAAACTGTTGGTAATGTGTAAAAGCTGCTGTGCCATGGGCATCTGTCATCTGCCGGCCTTAACCTCCGCTCGTAAGAGCATTAACTTTTCATTGAATCACTAATTGACTGACTGCAGGGAATTGGCATTTAATTATGTTTAAGCTTATCCTACTGTGTATTGAGAAACAATTTTGAATACTTGTTTGAAACTGGAATGCAGCGTGTTTAGGCAGATATCATGACCGTTCTCTCTTATTTTCTGAGGACAGGAGCTCAGGTGTATAGCTCTTGTTGATGTTTCAGTGCGTGCAACCTTCTAACATCACATAAATCACTTTGAATTTCTCCAACAATTATCTATTTAGCATGTTATGCGATTTCTTTTCCAAAATAATTTCTGTTGTTTTTCCATGGAATGATGTTTTATATTATATGTTGATGACATTCCAGGCTGAAGCACATTGGTAGTGTTATATAAAATGCTGTGCTCGTGTTCAGACTGGTAATCCTGACAAAATTGGTGTCAAGTAGCTTAGCCAGTATTACATATGTTACACTTCTCTCTGTTACAGGCATTCACAAATCCTCTCTGGTGTGTATTCCTCTACAAAATAAACACTTCAGTAGTGAACTGTGAAACTCATACCACATGGAGCTTGTTTCCTATGCTAGTCAAAACAGTCCTAAAAAATTGTTAGATTTCTTGTCTTTGATTAAATGCAAGTTCATTTTAAAAAACACCCTCCCCCCCCAAACTCTCAACATAGAAAAGCTCTGAATTTTTTGTTTCTGTGTGCCAAAGAGAATGTCAAAGAAGTTGTAAAAACATTTGAAAAAGTGGTGAGCTTTTTTGAGCTCTCCTTTTAAGCTGAAATGAGGAGTTTTATTAGTAAAAAATTACTAAGTGAGACAAGGTGCGGAGTGTGCAGATCCCTGCTCGTCCCCTTCCTGCCTCACAGGAAGCCTTGAGCACTTTCATTCCTGTTTGACAATGACACGGGACACTCTGCCACCACCGAACATGACAAATGCTCGCGGCGGTTATGTTTTGGTAGCTGAGAGCAGGAAGAAAAAAGCATGCAGGTTTTCTTCTGCTTCTCAAGCTGCATGGAAACGAGCGATTTCTGACGAGCCCAGTGCTGGTGTCTTTCCAAAAGAGCGTTTTAACGCTGGTTACTGAAGTTGCTTTCCTTTACTTTATCTCCCTGTCAGAGTTTGCTCACCTGCGTGAGTAACTCTGAATTTTCGCAACGCTAATGACTTTCTTTCCTTTTTTTTTTTTTTTGTCATCATAAATCATAGAAGGAAAGAGTTAACAGCTCATTGCAGCCCTGGAGATTTTTCGCTAATTGCAGCGGGTGGTTTGCGGGGCGGGCATCGCCGAGGTGCGAGCGAGCGGTGGAGGAAATGCGGTGCCCGCCGGGAGGGTGTGTACCTGTGAGGAGGAGGAGGAGGAGGAGGAGGAAGCTGGGCGGTGGCCCCTGCCCGCCCGCTGTGCCCACAGCCTCTCCCGGCGTGTTGGCTGGCGCGATCCTCGGCAGCGACCTCTGGAAGAGGCAGGGAGGGGAGAAACCCAACCCAAAGGCAACCCTCCCCCTTGGAAAAAAAACCAAAACAAACCCAACAAACCAACCCAACCTCCAGGCAGAGGAATATGACGGCCTTGCAGCTGAAGGAGTTGTCGCATTCGGGTCTGTACCGGAGGCGACGGGACCGCCCTGACAGCGTGGGGCTGCCCGGGTCACAGGAGGAGAAGCTGAGGTGAGTGCGAGTTGACGGCTGTGGTGGCTTCAGCAAGCAGAACATAAGCACGGCTCTCGGGAAGTCACCGCCGAACACGTGCGTCGAGAAGCAGTCCCGAAGCCCTATGGAGAAGACCCCGAAGGAGGGGTAACGGGAGCCGTACGGTGACCTTGCGGGGTTTGGCGATGGTGTGACTCCCTTCCCCGGCTCTGGGATGGGCGGTGGTTAGCCGCTGGTTGCTACGGGGTCTCTTCTGACAGCCAGCGCTGGAACGTAAATGACTTTCCGCAGCCTGACGACTTCACTCGGTCTGGTTTGAAGTCCGCTTTGGGTCACCCATGCTGTTTCTCGGGGGTCTCGGCGCTGGTTTTGTTGCAGGGGTGCTGGGGGGGTCCTGGGCTCTGGCTGTCTTCATGGGGGGTTCTTTGTTGTGGAAAGGGCTTCAGACAAAAGAAGGCAGCAGGACTGCTTAGCCTGACCTTACCCAGGAAGGGTGACGAAAAATCAGAAAGCCATTTAATGTCTGGGGTTATCTCCCTGACGCTACCTGCCGTTTGAAAGAGTAACAGCGAATTTTCGAACAACCTGTGTTTGGAGCGGGGAAATTAAAGTTGTTTGTAATCTGAGTAAGTGCAGACACCAAAAAAAAAAAAGTAAAAATGCAAAGTTTTTTTTCTAAGTGTGCGCGGTGTGAAAGCAATCTGTTCCCGCTTCACGCTCATTAGAAAAGGATCCTTGCGGAAACGCCAAGAAAAGCCTCGGTGGAGAGGAAGTGCTTCCTATCTCCTAATGCCTCTTTTCTGGTTGTCTGCTTAGGTTTTTTTGTCGTCGGTGGTGCTTGTGCGTCGGATTGGAGCGCTGTGTGGTTTAAAGGGTTTGTTTTTCTGCCTTTTGTTGTAACTAAACGCCTTATTTAAAAATTGTGGTGTCAAAATGTATGATCGTAACCTACTGAGATTATTTGCCAAGAGATATCAGAAATATCGGGTCAGTTCTAGGAACACGTTAGCTTGTGGGTCTGGTATGTGTGCTTGGCACCTATTTATAATATTAATTCTGAATTGATTTCCTAGGTGGATTTCTAATAGCATTAGCAGTATGTATTATATGACTACAGAGGGACGAATAATCAGACTTAGTAGAGATGTGCAGAGATTCTTGACCTTTTTATGTTTAGTTTATGTTACACAGAACTAGCAATGAGGAAGAATGAATCTTGTTAGGGAAGAGAAAGCTGCTTTTGAAATGAGTGCTAGCTCCTTAGGGTTGTGGTGTTGTTTCTCTCATTTATATGCACATCCAAGGTGGGAATTAGGCCCTTTGTGGGCTGGCTCGGGGGGAGGGGTTGTCTGTCCCGGTGTGAAACGAGGTGTTGTGATCCTTTGCTGAGCCTCATCCGGTTAAAGATGAGAAATATGTGAAACAGGGATGGGTCTTGAGAAATAAAATCCAAGTGGAAGAAACAGCAAATCAGGGGACTTACGAATGATCTCAGGGCAGGGTATTATTGGAGATACGAGAAGGTGAACGGAGTGTGGTCAGATGATGCTCCTAGAGCAGTGGGACAACCAGTACCTAAAGTCAGAGCTTCTCATATATTTGCTAACAGCTTAAGCTGGTTGTTACTCAAACTAAACCTTGCTCCTTCCGAACCCATTTTGTGATATTTCAGTGAGTTGCCAAGCAGCCTTATTTGTCATTTTTACTGCATTCTCCATGACAAAAGGCTATGGCATTGTAAATACAAAATAATGGCATAACAACAGGGCAAAGAGCAATTGTGGAATGAAGAGGAAAAGTTCTTTAGTATTCTAAAAATGGAAACCTCTAGCTTTTTTTGTGTGCTCTCCCCAGTGACACTTAGATGCCTGTCCTTAGCAAATATTTTCAGAGTATCTAGAGTCCACAAGAAAGGCAAGAGGTTTCTTTCATGTCTGCTAAATATAGCTTGCCATCCTCAATGGCTTTGCAATGCTTTTCCGTAGTTTCTCGCTCCAGCTCTTTGTTCTAGTGCCTTTGTATTTCGTTTTACATACATATTAATCCACGTGTTAAATAATATCAGCCCTCGAGGAACAGTTCACTGAAACCTGCTTTCTCGGTTCAAGTACCGTATTTTTCTAATCCCGGGCCAAAATGTACTCAAGATGCCAGTGTCCTCAGGGTATCCTGTGAGAATTTCTGTATTTAAAAAAAAAAAAAATTAAAATCGCCCTTTGTTAAAGTCATGCACAGTATCTGCCAGTTTTCGTTTTACGGCCTTTTATACCCTACCCCCATATGAGATTTCTCTCTCCTGATCTTTTTGAGGTCTGTTTCTCCTTTGGTAGCCATTTCATGGATGCCAGGCTGGGGTGTTCCTCTGGTCAGGCACAAGACAGCAGTCGGTGACCCAGCGTTCACAGCCTGTTGCCGTGGGAGCGGGGTGTCTTGGGCTGCCTCCGCGCTGCTGCTGCAGCAAGCACCCCTGCGTTTGGGGTCTGGCCACCGCGGCAGGAGCCGGGCGCTGCTCGGTAGGACGGGGGCTTGTGTGCCCGCAAACTGCGGTCGGGATCGAGCCAAGCGTTGGCAGCGTCAGCACAGCAAAGTGGCTTGAGAGGGGGCTTGGTGCCAAAATTCTGCCTTTGCTCTTTCCTGGGAACGTCCGTGTCATTCGTACCTGAAACACCTGAGATCACTGACAAGTAGGGCACTGTGTAGCAGTGTACTGGAACTCCTAAACGTGTATAGAGCATATGTTTATCATATAATGTTTATCATGTAATGTATCGCATACATTTTGTTTTCCAGGAACCAAAATTTCTTGAAACAATAATCTTTACAGTATAAAAATAGTTTACTGTGTTGACAGAACTTCATGATAGGTTGTGTGCCGTGGGACTCCGAGCTCCGCAACAGGAAGGCGAGCGTTAGTTTCTGCATCTATGTCCACTGATGTCACTTCAGCCAGAGGTTTGACCCCAATATTGTCTTCCAGATCTGCTATTCGGTTTATGAAGAGTCAGTCTCTATGCACATTTCCCTCAGTCTTTTGCAGGAAAGATCGTAGGAATATAGTTTGTCTCTTTCCATCAAGTTTCGTGGCTTGTCAGATTTCCATTTACAGTAGAAGCTGCTT